AAAAAATAAAACATAAACAATCAATACAAACAATGTGAGTACAAAATAATACAAAATAAATCAAAACAGTCCGAAAAATTACGAAAACTACAAAGCATATCAATCAAAAAAGACATGACGCTTCAGGCTCAACCTTTGACTCTTGCGCTGGCTTCTCCAGTGCCTCTGGCTGATCAGGCGGCTCTGCTGGCACCGCTGGCTGATCAGGCGGCTCTGCTGGTGCCGGAAGAGGTGGCTTTGCTGGCTCCGGCTCCGGCTGGTGCTGTTCTGGCTGAACAGGTGGCTTCCAACCCTCACTCGTCCATGTTTGTATAGTCTTTGATAAGCATGTCCTCCACTGCCATGTCTTTCCATCACTTAGATGCGAGAGGGCAGAGCTTCCACCGTCCACACAAAGCATCAACCACAAAATACCACAAAAAAATGAACATCAAAGAAAAATATGACGTAGATATGAGCGAGCTACTAAATGCAAATATGATGGGATGCTCGGCTATGTCCAGTGGAGCTCACGCTTTCTTTGGCCTGATTTCATATGGTTTGTTTTCATCACGGACGGAATATGAACCAAATAGACAAATATAAAAAAAAAGGCGTAGGCCATTTATGTCAAGTTGCACACTGTACCGTCCACACTTCATACTTAGAGTTGAACACTGGCTCCTTGCACCCGCCAGTACATTTTCCTATGCCACAAGCATTGGGCGCACCATCTGGAACGGCCATCGTCATGGCGATTTTTTGGAGAGTCTGAAGAAAGCAGAGATTCCATCATGTGGTTTCTTGTATTCATTCCATATTGTGCTCTAGTCTTTGCTTATCTTGTCTCACATACTATCATATATTCTATTATATTCTCATATATTCTCATTACTATCCACTCTTATCTTGTATAATCTCTTGGGTCTTGCGATCTCGCAATTTGAGCAATAAAAGAAAAAATAATCCAGGGGTGGTCCACATGTGCATCCACTCCTCACTCAGTTTCAGACCCCCCACCCCAGATTAATTAGGAAAATATATTAATCTGGGGTGGGTTGTCCTGGCTTGGATGTAGGTCAGCTTGCATCAAATTAATTTCCTGGAATATATATCATCATCCAACTTTGGATCATCATCCTGGATATACTGATATAGTGCACTTTTGGCAAATTAATTGAGAAAAATTAATTGGTACCTCAGGGTCACCCCTGATTAATTTAGATAGTGCAGGGAGTATTAAATTTCGGATGGAACCAGGTCTCAAATGGAATCAGGACGTCAACGGGCTTGACAACTTGACTTCAGCCAAAACGACATCCAAAAGATTGAACATGATTGAACCTCTGCCATGTGACTGGAGCAACTCTGGACCCCCCCCATCCGCTGCACACCACACGGTCCTGGTGATCTTCCGAGTGAGCATGGCTTTGTGGCGCCAGTCCCGGCTGTGGTGCTGGGCTTCGGTCCACCTGCCCAAAGCTGGTGTGGGAAAGGCTCGACTGATGATCTTCATGAGAAAGGAATGGCTAGTTAGGGTGATATGGTATGTGTGGCATACTGTGTGGCATCACCACTTGGCCCACCAGCCGTGAAGAGCCTCCACTCCAAAGAAGTGGGCACTTATATAGTGGTATTAAAAAAAACAGTTCCGAATAACTCGATGTGGTGGGATGATCCTGATCTTATCACCTTCAACGGACACGCAAGATCCCATCGGCGAAGATCCAATGTTCGCGCCTTTGGAGCTTGGCTCGGGTGGGAGTGGCTAGGAGAATCAGGCTGGGCCGCCAAGTGCAAGGCCAGCTTCTGCAACCTCAAGCAGGGGGGCTGTGATTCACTCAGGATTGCTTAGGAAATGATAGCTTCCTCCCGGGCATGGGCAGCAACTCAAACCTGAAGCCCCGAACATCTCCGTGGGCAAGCCACATCTGCCGGTGGAACTCCTCTTGTGGCCTGTTGTTGTGGAACAGCCCGGCGTAGCCAGGAGCAGACACCGGTTTTCCTCCGGCAAATCAGGGCTCGCAGCAGGGTTGTGCGGTCGCAAGACCCGTTGGGGCTCGACACGGGGAGCTGGGAGCTCAAACTTAGGATCTCCTCCCACAGGTTTTAGCGCCATAGGAGCAAGAAGCTACTAGGGGCTCCTGGCCTTACTACTGGGAGCTACTAGGTAGATGGTTTGATCGCCTCGTCCGGTGTTGATCAAACTCTGTGTGGTGCTGTCATGAAATCTTCATTCATCGAACTGATGGTGAAGTCACGCACGATGCATCTCATTTGCCGGACCCCCCCCGCGGAACGCAATGGGCCCGAGTCAGGACACTGACGTTGTGCGCTTGTGGTCTCTCTTCTCCCTCGCTCTCACTTCCTGTATGCGATCAGCGGCTGAACACTCTCTGGATGTTAAACCAACTGGCAAATTCTTGGTGGACGACTGGAATGCCATGTCAAATGGTCCCTAGTCGGTATGACTTCAATGACTCCCTCGACCTGGACCACCCAACCAGGCCCGTCGGTACTTCCGTCGGTCTCTGGATGCAAAGGATGCGTCGTTTGGGCTGTGGGGCTGGCGCCGGCGCCTGAGGCACCTGCACTAGGTAAAAGATCGGAGTGCAAAGTCCGCAAGGCTTTTGAGAGCGCCTCTTGAACTTAAGCATGTATCATCATCTGTCATCCTTTGTTGGGGGGTGTTCATGGGTCAAACCCACCCAAGACCTCTTCAAATTCGCATGCCACGACGTTCTCCAACACCGCACTGCGGAAGAGCCAATTGATTAACGATAATTATAGCCATTGATTTTCTTGGCATTGGCATGGTTGTTGACCTGCTTTGCTTTGATGGGAGTGGTCATTGTTCCAACAAGTATAATTGCGGTGATCCTCAATGGTCGTTGAATGATTCTCAGTGTCGATCAACCTCGACTCTCCCGGTATGCCTGGGCAGATGGCTCTCCTGGTTGGGCGGCCAAATGCAGCGCCAGCTTGCGGAGCATCCTCAGGCCGTTCAGCGGGCGGTGGCCTTCAGAAACCGGTCGCACTGGGCAGGGGAAGTCCTCATCCTGGCAGCTCACCGTATCGGGAACTGATACTCTCTCAGGGCCTCGTAGTATTTGCGTGGTTTGCCTAATCTTTCGCCACAAGTCTGGCCAAAGCCGTTCATTTTAGACGCACCGGACCCTGTGGTTGCTTAGAAGGACTGTACATCATGTCCTGCCTCGTAGCCTTGCAGTGAGCATCTACAGAACGCATAGAGAGATAGAGACGCCCACAGTTTCTTGGCCTGTGCCAGGGGGTGCGTGACATATGCTTAGAAATGCTTAGAATCTTTAGAAACTCCCAACTTGGATGTCCAGGCTTCACACCTGGTGGCACATGATCTGCCGGTGGGCTTGCAGGTGACGGCGTGCTTCAATGATGAAGACTTTGTGAGAAGAATTTGTGATACAGCGCCTTTGCCGGTAATGAAGGAAAATGAACATCAGCAAACCAATATTCCAATTACAATAGTTGTTCCTAATAGCTTCTTGATACTACTAGTAAGGCACTTGTTACTAGTAGCGATGCCCTTTGCTCGTAGTAGCGTCCTCTTGCTCCTCATGATTGTTTTCTTCTTGATGTGAGGCCAGTGGGTGCCACATTTCCGGGGTGAGGGTGAACTGTGTGCGCCGTTGCCTGGCGACTGCAGCTGTTGAGTGGATCGCGTAAAAAAGAGAGTGGGCAGCCGCATTTGCAAAACTTAGAGCCCAGCGGGAAAAAAGAACAAACAAACAACACAACATTGTAGTGTTTTTTCTTGAAAGCGTTACTTTGTAATGCGTTTGGTCCAATGACGTCCAAGAAAAAACACAAACATTAGGTTCTCCAGGCTGATGGCCGCCCTAAGATGCCCTAAGCATCATCTTTGCATCCCAGCATCTCATGATGGAAGCTCTGTTCGGAGGGCCCAAAGCGCCTGTCCTTCTTGCTTTTGCCTTCCCAAGCCTCCAGCAAGCCATGGACGATGTAGCTAGGAACACCTGGCACTCGTCATTCATAGAAGATTCCACTGATGATCTGCATGACTGCAAATTTCAGGGGCAGGGTGAATTTACCCCTAAACTCTCTATCCCACACAAGCAGTTCAGTAAATTAGTAAACCCCTTGAGCTCATTCAAATGAATAGTGCCGTGTCATGGGTCAATTAGCCAAAATGGGCCGACCATGATGAGACGGGTGTTTAGTTGTGTTTTTGTATCTGTATGTACGGCCCAACTATTGGTGCATGCAGCATGCACGGCTGCAGGACCAGATATGACACATTATGTATGGACAAGAGCCAAAAGAAAGCTTCCTGGGCAAAGAGTAGGAGACATACACAGTGGCTCGGCTCATTCTCTTCATAACCCGAGGCATCTGCATTCCTGTCTTTCCACACAGGCATGCCATGCTCCTCTGGAGTAGCGCAAAAGCTGCGAGGGGTGTCTGAACCCTCCTCCTTGTCCACAGGCATGAAGAAGTTCGACTCGCAGAAGTGCACCGGTTCGCTGGGACACTCCTGAACACATCGGCTCGCCGGGCCATTCCAGAAGGCATGCGAGTTGGCATGTGAAATCCTCACCCCAAAACAACACACGTTTGCCTCATAGCCGCGCGAAGTTCAAAGGACCCCTGCACATGGCCCCAACAACTGTAGACAACACATACCGTGCCACTACAAGTAGCTGGGTCTATCTAAACCGTCTAACCTCGAGTCCTTCACCATCGTCTCCGGCGATGGGGCGGTGGCCACCGTGTCGGGCACTTCCTCCGGCTGTGCGGCCAAGTGCAGCGCCAGCTTGCGGAGCATCTCCTGGTGAAAGCCCTGCCTGGGCGTTGGAACGCGACAACGACCTGGAGTTCTGTTGGGGGGCTTCCGGTGACCCTCGCACATCATAATGGGGGGGCAGATTTTTTTTTTGGACCAAAACCATGCGCAGATGGAAGCTGCTAGTGTAAGGCACCCGGCCCAACTGCTTGCTTTTCTCTCGTGTGGCAGCCCCGAACATCTCAGCTGGCAACTTTTGAACGGTCCAGCGGTGGCTCCCGGTTTGCTTTGAGGATGCTTAGAGCCCAAAACATTGGACTAGATGGATTTGCCACAAATAAACAGAACGGCCTCCTGGCAGGCTAAATCCATACCATAGTCGATTCTGGCTATATAGCCCCACCCCCACACGCCAACACAACTCCGTAATTGAATGAAAAGGTCAAAAAACATCAGAGAAAAACACAATGAAATCTTCACAAACGCCGGTTGCTCTTCTCTCGTGCTCCTTTCGAATTGCATTCTGCCAGGCAGCTCCTCAGGACCGAGGGAGCTTCTCTTGGTGCTGGGACCGGTGTCGTGACCCTTCTGGATGTCGCCTCGGCCCGGGCCACCCATTCGCGAAACCGTCCGGAGAACCAACCAGAAACGACAGAAGTGACCCAGCCCACAGAAGTGAGATGGCTGCCAAATGTCAAACCAGGTCAAACCTGCTAATGTTACGGTAACTCTTACAACAACATCATCTGCCTGTTTAATATAAAAGTAATACAAACTATGTCAAACTGCTATCATGACTCAAACCTATCACTAACCTCATCTGGTGAAGCTGGGCTCCACGTGGTTCGCCCAAGGCCTTTCTGATCTGTGTATATATACATATATATATATATATATATGAGTGCATGTGTATGTGCGCATACGCACCGCTGAGTGCCAAGATTGGAGATGCTTGGGGCGACCCTTGGCCGACGGGACAAGGTCCCGAGCAAGCTCCTAGTAGCTTCTTGTCACAAGTAGTAAGGCCAGGAACCCCTAGTAGCCCCTAGTAGCTTCTTGGCACGTAGTTAGCAAATCTTGTCATCCTCCCAAGACCGAACCAATTCCGGGTCCAATCTTCATTGCGTTTCCGGAGCATTTGTGGCGACAAATCGACCTTCTCCTCCGAACGGTGGATAATGTGTGGTTTACGGCCAATGTGTCTATGCATGCTTTGTGACCATGTATCATTGTTGAATTGCAATTTAAAGCATGTACATGTACTGTGTATATCAATAGATAGATATGATATGTCTTATATCTGTGTCCACACCTGTCTCAAAGGAATTTCAACAAGGCAGGGGGTGGAGACACCGGTATTGCTTCTCCACCAACGAAGCTGGCAATACCCGGTGAGGATATCAGTTCCGGACGCGGAACTGACGTACCTGCTGTATATTTTTGAACTGTTAACAAGCTGTCCAATCCGGTGTTGTGCATTAGGCAGTTCGTGCTCACAAAACAAAATATTCAACATCTTCAAGTTCTCTAACTTTGCCACCTTTCCCGTGATTGCATTTTTCAATTCACCAAGTCAAGGGGGACTTCATTCTGATCCTAGCTCTTGCGAGCAACCATCTAAGTGTGTATCGGAGTCCCACTGAGGGCTGTGGTGTGATCCCCGTCGAGGGGCGCAGCATGTGCACAGACCCAGATCCTGGAGGACTCACCCTGATTGTCTCGTCTCTGCACTGGGACTTGTATTGTAACCCCCTCGATTGACTGCTTTGCACGATACCACTGATACTATGCCGCAGGGCTTACTGAGATCAAATTCCAGTCAGGATTCTGGCATACGGCTAAGTATTCACATGTCCACGTCATGCTGCTAAGTATTCACAGGCCGGAAGAGAGTGAGATCGAGAGTGGTATTTTTTGCTCCGTTTGGGTTTTTCTTTCCTGCTGTTGCTGTTCTTTTTCTGGAGGCCTTTCTTTAGGTTTCTTTAGGCTTCAGTCAAAGATGTGCCAAACGCAGTTTTACTTGATGCTGCTAAGTATTCACAGGCCGGAGGAGAGCGAGGAACGTGAGTGACTTTTTTCAGTTGCATGCGCTTGTCATGTTCTTGAGTTCCTTCTCTCTTGCTGTTGCTTTTCGTTTCTTGAAGCCTTTCTTTAGGTTCCAGGTGTTTTTCAGAAACGGGTCCGCCGGCCCCAAAATCGGCTTGAATGTCAATGATGGCAAGCCACCCTAACCCCCCCCCCCCCTACCTCCCTGCCCCTGGCCTCCGTTGCTATCCCACCCGCTATCTAGGGTTATAGAAGGAAATCGCACTCAACACACTTGTGTGTTGGTGCCTTTCCTTCTATTTCTCCTGTCCTACTTCTAGCTACCAGGGCGGTATAAGACTAAAGTCTCGGTCGCTAACTTCTGCACGTATTGTAACTAACAGACCTCGTCACTAGTGGGCCTCGTAACTACACCTATCTTTCTCTCCTGCCCTCTTCGGCTTCTCTTTCTGTCTTTTCTTTTCTTTTCTTGCTAAGGCTTGTTAGGTGACTACTGAATTGTCTGAGCGCCGAAATCGGCCTGGTGTGTGCATAAGTCCACACCTGTTTTAAAGAAGTGTTTAAACAGGCGGGAGCGGCTAAGTAATCAGTAACTACCTTGCAGGTTTCATAACTAAGGGGGTTCGTAACTACGCCTATCTTTCTCTCCTGCCCTTTTTCGGTTTTCTTTCTGTCTTGCTTTTCTTTTTCTTGCTAAGGCTTGTTAGGTGACTACTGAACTTCCTGAGCGCCGATAGCGGCCTGGTGTGTGTGTGTGTCCACACCTGTTTCAAAGGAATTTCAACAAGGCAGGGGGTGGAGACACCGGTATTGCTTCTCCACCAACAAAGCTGGCAATACCCGGTGCGGATATCAGTTCCGGACGCGGAACTGACGTACCTGCTGTATATTTTTGAACTGTTAACAAGCTGTCCAATCCGGTGTTGTGCACTAGGCAGTTCGTGCTCACAAAACAACATGTTCTTCAAGTTCTCTGACTCTGCCACCTTTCGGTTATTGCATTTTTCCGTTCACCAATTCAAGGGGACTTCATTCTGATCCTAGCTCTTGCGAGCAACCATCTAAGTGTCTCGGCCAAGCCGCCCTGCTTCTCCGGCGCAAGTCCGGGCGAGCCGGTCATGGCGCCCATGGCTCCGTAGAGTGGCGTGATGGTGTCCACCAAGCCGTAGGCGATGTAGGAAGGGATCCACCTAGGATCGACATGGTCATCCGCCGGATTCGAATCCAGGTGGACACCTGGGTCATCTGCTCACCCCGTGACCAGGCAGAGCGGACCCAGTTCTGGGATGGTTTAGGTTTGAGTAATCCCAAGATTCCCAAGCTTGGGTGACATGCCTGAATGTTGCCTCACACGCCCAACCAACACACTCCCACAAGACTGTAACCTTGAGGATTTGTCTGACTAATGAAGGCTGTTGATTAATAAAGCCGCCCGGCCTTACCAGCATGGTTTTTTACATCTCCATACGGGGATCGTATGAACCAACAGCCAACATTCGCACTCCCATTGTGTTCCCGTAGTTCTCTGCAAAGCCCCCCACTGCATGTGCCAAGCGGCACATTGGGTGGCGGGCTCCACCAGTGCCAGGCATCGGAATTTGGGTGGGTCTCATCTTTGGCCTCGCGATTTGCGCGATGGACAGGCCGAAACGTGCGCTGCTCGACGCGAAGGAGTTGGTCGGCAAGGTTACAGTAGGTTTTGGAGTTGACAGCCAAAAGAGGTGGAGAGGCCTCACACATCAACACTACCACATCTATCCACATCTTTTGGAAAAGTGTATCAATGACTTGCTCAAGAGCTGTGGGAATGGATGCGGCAAAACTGCAGAGAGTGAGACTGTCCCGCTCCGAAACGAAATGTTATTGCTGTCCCTTCTCCCGTGTGAGTCAAGAACATCGTGATCAAACAACAAACATGGGGACCGCAATTGCTGGGTGGTCTTATGGAATACATCATCCATCTAGCAAAATCAGTGCAACACTTCAAACATCATCCCAACAGCGGGCCACTCAGCATCCAGCAGGAAATCCTGGCCACATTGGCACAGGCTCCGTGGCAATGAACATGCTCGAGGTGTTCATGGCCCTGCGCTCGGTGGTGGCAAAGCAGCCTGGTGCGGCCGGACATAACGAAAGTAAACCACTTTGAACAAGCAAAGCATCATGATATACTGCATGTCTGGCAATTCATGCGACACGGAAGCTGTGGAAAGAACATGCTGACCGGTTGTTTGGGGTTCAAGGTTTCTTCGGGCATGTCCCCACCACCACTCCCTCAAAATGACCTGATGTTTAAACATAATATATTACTGTATACTGGTTGGTGTTTTCAACCCACTTGAAAAACATTAGTAAGAGGGTCCAATCATCCCCAAGTAAGGGTTGAACAAAAAAATATCTATCGAAACCATCACCCAGTATATAGAGAGAGAGGCCCTAGGCTCAGATGCAAAAACCATTTTCGGCGAGGCCGTATATCTCGCCAGCATTTGGGGAACAAAAGCCTGGCCCTCCAAACATAATCTTCTTTTGCTTGGGCTGGGCGGTGGTGGGGGGACTCATCCATAGATTGACCGCGCGCCGCGCGCCTTCCACACAGAAGCGCCAAGGTTTGGAGCTATCACATCTCCAAAGCCCAAATGGCAACGGACGAATGTCACGGTCTCACGCCGATAGAGACAAACATTAGGTTGCCTGGGTTGGTCAGGGCAGTCCCGAGCCACCCACGAGCGTCACGCCGCGAGGGACGAGCTGTGCACGGCT